TTCCCTGAGGTATAATACAAGGAATAATGCATTACACAGGTTGGGAATATTATAACAGCAAGACAAATAATGTGAAATAATAGCTGATAATGTTCATGGTAAAAAAAATAGGTTAATAGGAAACCTGTGATAAATAATGTATTTCCTTGTGATACATTTTATTTTCTGTGGACATTTCTGATAATAAACCTTTCTACAGGGATGTGTATTGAAGACACATATTGTCTAGTGAACAAAAACAAACCCCATTGTGGTGATATTTTAAACTTCAGCCTAGCCTACATACCTGAATGTCAGCCAAACAAGCTGCCACACAATAAGTCAATACATCCAATGGCAAGTCAAAATACACAACAAATGTGCACGTGCCACTGCTTCATGTTCATTTAATGCAAACTAGAAAATGTAAGATTGTGTTTAACACACAGCAAAATGGTTTGAATATATAACCCATCCTGTAAAAAAAGGGCTAAGTAAGTGTGGATAATGCATGTATGCACACACCCCAAAATACCCACGGCCGATTGGATCCCAATTCTATGACATTTGCGTGATGGACGGAAAATGTACTTCTGATGTCCTGGGACAGTGGTCAACTGATCCTGCCATGAAGCAGTTTGACCAAACCATGAGATCCTGTTTGATATGAATCACATGATGAAGGCCTGCTGCAGCAAGTGGGGGCTGCAGGAAGTTGTTGGTAGGGTTTGGGGTGAGGTTTTAAAAAGCTCCAGGTACCAAAAGTACAGAGTTTTCCAGAACTTTCCAGGATGAAAACTGTACGATTTATGGCACAAGCTAGAACAGGAGTTAACTTTTAGTAAAAATGAAGTCACAAAGTATTAATCACTCTGTATTTAGGTCCTGGCTTCTGCCACAAAGGACCACACCCAAAGCAGGCTCATGTCTGAAGAAAATTGCAAAAGCCAAGGAGAGAGACCAGGGTGACGTGAACATGACACAACACAGGTGGTTTGTACAGTCAACTGGCTTTGATGATGTATGTCAGCTGCACTGTATGTGTACACTGCACGACACCACATCCTCAGCATGCTAGCTTCCTCTGGGTAGAGCAAAAATAATCAGCCTTAATAATCTGTTTAGCAGATGAGCCTCAAACTTTTTCAAGATCAATTCAGAAAGAAGTAACCACTGCATTTAGTCATGTGCTCATTTCATTACTGGAACACATAAATGAAAACTGATGCAAGTAAACAACTTTGTGTTTTCTGTCAGAAAATAAGACTTCAAGTCAAATCATTCAAAGCTGTTAACTTAAAAATGTATTTGTCTTTATCTAGAACTACAACATACACTAAAAATATCAAGGACCTGCTTCACAAGAAAGTTATCTGGAAAACCTTGCTGAGTAAAGATCTTATTTAATCAGTAACTCAAGCTCAGAAGGAGAACTGGTTTTACAGAGCTAAGTTATCCAGATATTCCGTTTTTAGAACAGGCTCCTATGTTATCATTATTGTTATTTTAAAAACTTAAGTTGCTCCCCATATAAAATCCTGTTATCTGCTGTTTGATACAGATACATTCCAGACAACTCCATTTGATTTTGCTCTAGAACAAAAGCCAAAATAACATTCCCCATTACTTTTAGCATCTTTCTTATGTGCAAAGTAGTATAAAAAATATACAAATATATTCAGATACAACTTGTATCAATACCAACAACCTCAGCGCTTTTCCTCAAAATGATTTAACACGATTAAATAAGTCTGTCAACATTTGACCTCCTCTAACAGGTTCTTTATTCTGAACCAGCAATCACCTTTAAATCCAAAGACCACACACAGGTGAATCACCCCAACAGTCAAATCACTTTATCTCACTATTGGCATGTGATACAAAGCAGCTTTCTCTTTAAGACCTATGGGACACAAGGAATACTCTCCTGACCCCCTGTATCTCATTGCAAAGGGATTTGGTTATATTATGAAAGCTAGTTGTGGTGAATAGGGGGCAGCTGGGATTCACTATGGGAGGAACTTGATGGGCTCTGGCCTGTCAAGATACTAAATACACATCAGCTGCTGCCAACAATGTGCCAGTTTAGAGAAAACTTAAAATGCACACTAACACTGTCTAGAAATTAACAAGTCGGTTCAGTGTGAATGTGACAGTCCATAAAGTCTACACACATAAATCTTGGCCTAACAGACTTGCAGAGAGGAATCATTGTTACAACCTTGATGGGTTTTTGATTAATGATCACATTCAAGACAAAAACCAAAGAACTGCTGGAAACTAAGTGCAACACAGGTCTGTGCAGTATCTGCCATCCATGTACACTTTGTTAAACCAGTTAACATTTCATTAACACTACTCAATACTATAAAATCTTGGAGAACACCATACTAACAGACAACTGTGGGAAGATCTGACAGTTCAACACAGCACAAGATTATTTCCATCAACAGAATATGACTGAATCAAAGGATTTACCATGCATTATGGTACATTATTAACTTAGTGGAAGAATCCATAGCTTCATTAATTCTGTAAGCAAAAGGGCCATGATTAAAATGGGGAATACTTACTGTGACAGGTTTTCTCCACACTCAAAAAACTTTTTATCCCTAACCTTTAAAGGACACTAGTGGGGTCTGTGGGGCTTGGGGGTCAACTGGATAACACACTGGGTTTGCCAACTGGGGACACTGTGGAAAAATGGAACTTTGTGTTTGACTTGAAACACTTCTGGGATGCTTTGCAGACGTTTTGCACTTTTGGGGACTTTTGTGGATGTTTGGGACGAGTCAGTGAGGGAACGACTGGAAATAAAAGTGATATATTAGACAAATGAGCAACAAACAACAAAAACGCGTTAAGACGATTATCAAATGAGATTCGCCAGACAATAAAACTGGTTAATCGGCATCTCTAGAAAGTTAAATATTCCTAAATTAGGCAACATTTAAGAGTTTACATGAAGAAACTCTATCAATGTAAAAGCATTCAGCAGCGAAACAACTTTCAGTACGATTATTATTAACGTAAAAAGACTGCGAATACAAATTTCAAGTGCGTAGACAACGTTGAGCCAAGTTATTTCGCAACAGCGTCACAGTTTACAGCAAATTACCGAATGGATTCTAACGTAAAGCTAATTTTCATGACCCACACTGGTCTGATGCCGCTACACACGCTGTATTTATTTCGACGATGCGTTGAGTGGAAACGCGGATGATTAGCAAATTACTATTCACAAAATCATTAGCCATTAGCTTAGCCACCCACACTCTGTTGCCAACAGTAGCACTAGCTAACGAGCTAATGTTGCTAGGTTAGCCTGAGAGTAGGCCCGCATTAGCAATAAAAACAACCGCTTGTATTCGTTGCACCTGCGGGACTTTCGTAACCGTCACCGCACAAAAACACGCGTGAATCAACGCTGATTGAGTCGATGGATCTTTTAAATGTGGGCAAGTTTTCAACCGATGCTTTCTACTCGATGAAGTGAAGAATGGCGGCGAAGTGGTCGGCGGTTTCACTCGCGTCTTTTTGTCTCTTGTCACGTTGTCTTGAGTCAATTGACCGTGGATTGTGGACACGTACTAAGAACACGGGGAATAACGTTATCCCAGGTGCTATGTGGCCTCCCAGTTGGCGTTGTCGTGTCAACATGGCGTTCTTTACCTCTGTACTCGTTTTCCAGAAAACGTGGATTTAATCCCTCTGACAGAAAAAAAGGAAAAAGAAACTCCGGGCTTTTTGTGTAAAAGCACAGGACAAATAAATAATTTCATTTCAATATGATTGTAGAATTACTCGACCTTTCGTCAGTCAGGAGACTGTTGTGTTCGTGGTTGGTAGTTGGGGAGTTTGGATGCACAGTCATGCTTTCCACAGCCATTTCCTCTAGCTACATTGAGGTGCAAAAAATTACAACTCGACACTTGAAATCACTGGCTTATGCGTCACTTCACTAGGATCTACTTGATTTTGATTTCAGGAAGAGTTTCAGTTCATTGTAGGCAATTCTCCACTACAGTTGTCATAGAAATATGATGAAAGTGAGTCCTGACGCTCTCCGTCCTACTGTAGCGATGTGAAATGACGACTGGTGAACGTAAAATGGCCGCCAGTCTTGTCCAAGGAGAAAGGGGGCGTGTTTCTCCGAGGATGACGTCAGAACGAATACGTGTGTGCGTCTCACGGAAATTACCGAATGTGAGATTCGACGGGTATCAACAAGCCCCCGAGTTTGACTCGCAGGTGCCTCACAGACGTTTTCCTTAATTGCAGTTTTATTTGTTATAGACTTTATATAATACACTGATCTAACTCAGATACGATTTTATGTCAAATAATATTTGTTGTTGGGCATGAGGTCTTTTCTATGCAAAAAGGTAGAGGCATGTGTAAAATGCAAGTAGGTTGTTAATAATCATAGGAATAAAAAGTCCTTTATTAGCCAGGTAATGGGGACAATTGTATAATCATAATAATAACTTGAGTGTGTTTGGCAAGTTTCAAGAGACCCAAAGACACTTTACACGTGTCAGTAGGGACAAAAAGAAAAGACAGTAAATTAACATTGAGCATGTAGTCTTATAGATCGAACGTTCATTCTGATAGAAATAACCTATCGTGGTGGGGGGGTATTCAGAAATGCATAATGCACAGGCATTCTGTGAGTAGGTTCCCTAAAGCTCGACAAAAAGTCCTGATGGAATATACACGAGACTAATGCTACAAATGAAGAGAAGTCATTCAAAATGTGCACACAGGCCTAACTACAAGAAAATCAGCCAATAATACCACATACCTGTGTGACACTGATGGGCTTCATGACTGACACGCTGTTTAAGAGACAGGCATCCCATTACAGTGATATATTACAAATTACATTAAGTGACAATGGTGTACAATATTTTTATTCATGAACCGGAAGTAAGACTCAGAAATCCACGGCGATCATTCTAAAATATTTTAAAATTAAAATTAAAAGATGTGAGACCACTTCTTTTGTTTCGCTTGTGACGTCATCATCCAGCGCCCATTCAGCGGGACCGTCGCTCCATTTGAAACATCGACAACAGCGCCTGAACAATTCGATAATTATTTCAGCGACATTCTCGTGTTTAGGGTGAATCGACATGATCGATACGATCGAGAAGGAGGACCCGGTCATCAGCGAGGAGGAGGCGGCACAGTACGACCGTCAGATTCGACTGTGGGGGCTGGATGCTCAGAAGAGGTCGGTTAGCTTACGCTTAGCCTTCAAAGCTAATCAGTGCAGCGGAGGGTTTGGCTTGTTGCACCGGTAGAAAGCGTTTCACCGACCCGTGTTTGAATTTGTCGGAAGTTGTTGTTGAATGATTCTTGGATCATGCGCTGTGTGGACTCACTCTTGAAATGACCAGTGTCTATTTGTTTGTATGTCGTGGTCTTTTCATTGTCTTCGCTGATGGATTCAAGATGTTTATCGTCATGCACACAGCAGATAAACACAGTTTACAGCATGTTGTGAAATTCCTACTTTGTTTTTCAGTCTGCCGAAAAATAGTATTAAAAGAAATAAAAGAAATATATAGAAATAGAAAATAGTGCAAGTATTCGTTACGAAATGTAATAAAACTGTACAAGGATGCAGAGTAGAGGCAGATATGTGTTTGTTTAAAGTGCAGAGTGCAGATTATTGTGATGGTTATTGCACATTGATCCATTACACATGGTTGTAATCAAGTTGTGTCAGTGGGGGCAGAGTTCAAAGTTTCATTTAACAGTCATAACAGTCAGGTTCGCTGTTACTAGACTCTAATAAAGTCCATATATTGCACTTTTTAACTATTCTGTCGTACCATTGTATTGTGTTCTACTTTAATTTTATTTTATACAGTTCTGTCAATTGTTCTGTATTATTTTACTACTTTAACCCATTTTTTTATTTTTAAGTTGTGTCCTTTTATTCATCATTTAAATCCTGAACCTCTACTTCTTTCATCTCAAATTTTACTTGAAAATAGTTTTAAACTGTGTTTCTGATTTCTGAGCAACTTGAATCTACCTCTGTGTGTATGTAATTTGTAGTAGTTTGGTTTACCTGTGTGTGGTTTCTAGGAGAGGGCAGTTCAAATACAGATGAGTGTATTTAATAGTTAGTCTGCATGTGTTTCTTCTTGTTACAGGTTGCGAGGGTCTCGTGTGCTCCTGGCAGGTTTAGGTGGTCTTGGGGCTGAAGTGGCCAAAAACCTCATCCTCGCTGGAGTTAAAAGTCTCACTTTGTTGGATCATGAACAGGTACGTCCTGCACGGGACACACAGGTTCCCCCTTTTGTTGTCAGAACAAACTTTTACTCACAGAGAGGATTTAGGTTTCACTTTGAATCCTCAAATATTTGTTTTCAGCTATAAACTAAACATCTGTCTGATTTGTTCATTGCCAATTAAAATAATAGATTGAGAGTAGATTGCATTATGTGGCATTTGAAATCTGCATTGTTACAAATGTCCAGGAGAGGGTGCATGTTGCAAAGTAATATTTGAACAACCCAGCAATGAAAGAAACCAGTTATATTTATTATGGCAAATTGTAATTGCAGCTTAATTCTGGCTTCATATAGTTTTGAAGATTGGTTTTTAATTGTGCTATATAAATAAAGTAAGGGTCCCAGAGGAAATTTAACAACACCATTCCATATATTCTCTATTTGTGTGTTAATCAGGTGTCAGAGGAGACATGTCGAGCTCAGTTTCTGGTTCCAGTGACAGCCCAGGGTAAGAATCGGGCCCAGGCCTCTCTTGAACGAGCACAGAATCTCAACCCAATGGTGGAAGTCCATGCCGACCCAGGCAGAGTCGAAGACAAACCAGATGACTTCTTTCTGCAATTTGATACAGTGAGTAAATATAAACACACAGTCAAATACACTGTATAACTAAAAGACAGCTGCACTCAAATATCATGAAATATAAATTAAATTGGGATAATAGAGAACCTATTTAAATTATTTGAGTAGTAAAGTAGCCCAATTGTGTATTTCCGGAAATCAGATCTTGAAATATGCAGTATAAACACTTTAAAAAAGGTTTGTTTACCTCTTTGGAGTTCTGTCTGAATGTAGTTTTGCGTTTTAGGGTTGTCTGGTATTATTTGTACAATAGCACAGAAATGTGTCCACCGAGCCTTGTAGTACTCAAGTGGCCACTAGATGTCGCTTGTTGCCCATATATGTTTTGCTCTGTCAGAACCAAAACATCAGATTTCTATGAAGCGGGCTTGTAGCAGTGGAATGGCTTCAGCTTTGCTTCACATTTAAGAAAATATTAATGCTAACTTTTTGTCCTGAATGTTTTATCATGCAACTGTCTTCTGATATAACTGGAAAAAAACCTTATTGTCATATTAAATAGTATTAAACACACAATGAGTATAGTTGCTGGCTTGTCACAGGAGTGGCTTCATGACAACTGTATAGATGTCTGTGAGTGGAGCAGCCAAAGCCATGAACCCAATCAAAGTTCTCAGAGACCTGAACATGTTCACCAACAATCCCTGATCGAGCTTTACAGGCTCTGCAGAGAAGCAGAGCAGAAAATCCCTAAATCCACTTGTACACTTGTGCCTGTGTTTTTCCTTTGTGAATAATTACAAATTAAATCAGACATTTTAAAAATTCTGTTTTCACTCTTATTATGAGCTATTGCGTGTAGATTGAAAAAATAAATTGAGGCATTAGACTGCAACATAACAATTTATAAGGTGACATGGTGTGAATACTGTAAATGCAATGTACTATAATGAAGAATGTATGAATATCCCCTGTGATTGTTTCCAACTCTCCCAGTGAACCTCAAAGATGTGCAGTATATATATGATGGGTGATTGTTTGTAAGGTAAAAAGTTACTTCAGCATTAATTAAAATGACTTTCCACAGGCAGTCATATACGCACACGTTCAACTGCTGAAGGGAAGAATGTGTTTAAACACCATCAGAAGAGAAAATTAGAAGGTTTTTTCCCCCTCCTGTTGTGTCTGAATTGTTGGCAGCCTTCCTCCCTCTGGGGGTGCTAAGAGAGGGTCAGCAAGAGGGAGGGGGGAGAGTGGGACGGGAGGAAGACGAAGAAGATATCAGTATAATAAAGCGAAGTGAGGATGGGATGAGTTGGAGGACAGAGCGAGGAAGGAAGAGATGGTAAGAGAAGAGAAAGTGGGATAATTGAAAAGGCTAGAGAGAGAAAAAAACAAACACATCACTTTCATGTGCTTCCTCGGATGTGTCTGTGTCTCAGCGGGAAGATGGAGGGTGATTAAAGTAGAGTGTTTGGAGTGTGGTCACAGATTTCATACAAGTGGCCTAATTACTGAAGAATGAATACAAATGAAAAGCACACTGTCCATCTGGTATATGCAGAATACAGCTGACTGGCTACTTACACTGTCGTTCACCCTCTTTGTCTGTTTATACTACAATTAAAAATATATATGTGTTCTGCAGTGGGGAGGTGGATCCAGATTTTCTTTTCACTTTCTTTAACATTAAAATTTTATAATTAATATGAATTAATATTTCTCAGAGAAAGATCACAGAAACTGTATGTGTATTCAGATCCAAATAAAAACCTGGATCTAGTGAATCAGATGCGGTTTCATAAGGGATCTGTTGGGTCTTGGCGGAGGTATGAGATGTACTGAATGACGCTCTAGTTTAGCAATGCGTTCCTTAAAATCACTTCCCTGTTCTTCTGATGCTTTAACTACATGCTTGCTCTTGGTAAATAATGATTGCTTATCATAAGAGGGAAATAAGTGGTGATCTGCATGTCCACCAGGTTGATGCATCATTTTTTTTTAGTCCTGTTTGGCCGCGCTGGTCCGTGACTCTGGTCTCTGCTGCTTTGCTCTGAACAGTCTGAGATGTCAACGATGCAGCATCAGTGTTATCAGTGAGCTGAGGGTGTTTTTGGGGCTGGACTGGGTCGGCAGGATAAGACGGACCCAGCCTCCCCCCGGTCAGTTGTTTACAGGCATACACTGATCCACCCTGATTTTGCCATGGTACGCTGTGTCACTGTGTTGTCTCCAGCCTTGTTTGGTTGTTCTGCTGTAGGTGTGTCTCAGTTTGTCAGTCAACCTGCCACCGTTCAGTTGTGTTGTTGTTCTTGTGAGGCTGAAAGATGCAGATTAATTCGTTTTTTGTGTGTGTTTTTTTTAAGGGTTGCAGCTAACTTTTAGAAGTAATATATGTCTGCCTTTCTCTTGGGGATAAAGCAGGAGATGGACGATATAATTTGATGTTTCTGTTATTGTTAGCAGTTTTATTGTTATGTTAATAAGAATGGAAATGAGTGAATAACAGCACAAAAACAAAACGGCAGGGTGGTAGAGGCGGAGAAGGTGCCCAGTAGAGCAGCACAGTGGAGTTCATTTTCACAAATCTTCATTTTTAGATATTGAAGTTTCAGAAGGGTATAGAAAGTACAAACCTTATTTTACTGCGAGAGGTCAGTAAACATCCATCACTGCATATATGGTGAAAGATTAAATTATTTATAGAAAAACACAAGGACTTTTTTTCCTTACAAATGTATCTCTTAAGTTATTGGTCACATTTGAAAGGAGTCTCTTAAACACTGCGATGTTTGCTTCACAACTGTTCAGGTCTCTGATACATCCCTTTGTAACTAGAATGAAACTCAGTAGAGCTCATACCTCTGTCAAGGCCCAAATGTCCCCTTACATTCAATCAGGCTGACTCACAATGTTGAAGACAGTGGTAAAGAAATCCTGGATATTCAGCCTTTGTGTGGATCTGGTTCTTTTTTCCATCCATCCGTCCACCAAGTTTCATGGAAGTCTTTACAGAAGTTTTGTGTAATTCTACTGACAAACAAACCGACAGTCAGTGGTGAAAACACAACATCCCAAGGTAACAATAAATCTTGGTATTTGAAAATAAAGGTTTGATCACAGCATCACAGCTATATGTTGTTAAGCCTTATTTAACTTTGTTTCGTAGCCTCCAGGTTTGAATCCCCCGAAGTAGCCACACAAGTGCAGCACGAAGACTCGTAAACTCTCTGCTCCACTTATTTCAAAAGGAGAAAGTCCACTAACCTTCAACTGTTCCACCGTGTTTGATTCCCTCAGGTGTGTCTGACGGGCTGCTCCAGAGACCTGATGGTGCGGGTCGACCAGCTCTGTTCTCAGCGCAACATCAAGGTCTTCTGTGGTGACGTCCACGGTTACTATGGTTACATGTTCTGCAACCTTGGAAAGGAGCACAACTATGTTGAGTGAGTTTCAACAGCGATCCAAACTGGGTTTAATACATTGACCCATGGGACAGGTTCAGTTTTTACAATGTAAGCTGCAGTGATGTCTTGCTCAAAGGCACTGCAGCAGGGCAGGCTGACTGACAAACCACAAATTAGTGATAGGTCCCATTGCAACTATTTTTTTTTTTTTTTTGCAACTTTACTCTGTTTGTTGAATCCATCTGATCCACTACAGTACATGAACACACAGTACTATACAAAATACAATACATGTGGTGAGCCTCGTTTTCTGAACAAACCTTTATTTGCTGATAATGTAAAACAGCTCTGTTCTTCACTGTCTCTCTCTTTCTCTTTAGGGAGAAACCTAAAATAGTGAAACCCACTGGAGACGGCCCAGAGGCAAAGAAAGCCAAAGTCGACCCGAACGAGACGACCATGGTGAAGAAGGTATGAAAACCACCTCTCCGTCAAATCCACCTTTTTTATCCCCCAAAGAAATGTTGTCTACAAATATATTTTCCATCAATTTTGCTCCATGAAATGTTTGTATTGATTGTGAATAAAATGATTTCCTTTTTAAATGGACGTTGGGGGGATAGAAATCTTCTTCTTTATGAAACCAACCCTTCTGGGTTGAATGTAATACTTTTCTTTCTCTCTCTTTCTCAAACATGAACCAGTTTTTAATACATGGGTTTTTAATCACAAGTCTAAATCACTTTAACTCTTTTCCTTATGCAAACATGATTTCAGGCATTGCTTCATGTTTGTCCTAAAAATTACTTTCTTTTATTTGATTTGAATATCCAACCAATTAGACATCCAGCTTCTGCACGCTGAAGGAGGCTCTGGAGGTTGATTGGACGAGTGAGAAGGCTAAAGCCGGTTTGAAGCGAACACCAGTTGACTACTTCCTTCTTCATGGTAATAAGAATCTTCACTTTATAAAACCTGTAGAAATACAAATGGTTTAGTGACTGTTGAAATGTGAATATTAGCCTTTCCCCTGTAATAATGTCATTTTAAATTCAAAACCTGATATTTGTCATCTAAACTAGTAAATGCTGATGATCGTTTTATTATTTGCATTTTAAACAGTTAATGTTTTGTCAGTACAGTTTAATAGATAAAATATAATCAATCCTTGCAACTCTCAAAAAATTATTTTCTTTTTTATAAGCAGTTTTAAAGGTTGATAATTAAATGTATGTATGACACGTTTTCTCATGATGATTTTGTAAGAAAGTGTTTGTGAAATTGTTCATTCATGTTTTAATGTGCAATAATTTAAAAGTCTTCTGACTGACTTTCTGTGTGGGAGGCAGGAGACACATTTCCATTAAGAGAGATGATCACAAATAATCCCGAAAGGTCGGAGGAAAAAAAAAAAAAAAAAGCGTAGAATTTTGAAACTGAAATTGTGTAGGAACAGAGACTGAAACACACACAATAAACATGCAAAATTACCGGCTCCAATTTAGCTGATGAGCTGTCGCAGCACATGTGTTGGGAGTTGTTGAATGTAAATCTCGGTCTAGAGATTTCAGTGCTAAATTTAATCAGCAATGGGTAAAAAAAATTGTTTACAGGTTTAGGGACCATCAACCCTTTAAATAGATCTAAATGATAACTTCCTGTTTTCAGGTCATTTACAGCTTCTGATGATCTTCTCCTTAGACTTGTTATTCTCCCTCATGTAGTTTCCATCACAGGCTGTCCATGGCCAGTCATGTGCACAGGGCGTAGAACAGAGAACAAGTTGACACTTCCACCTACACACGACAAGCATATGACAACAGGAAACAACCAGAAAATGGTGACAGACTTGTAAATTCTGAAAACTTTTCCATGTTTAAATGCAGCAAGTAATGAAAATGAAATACAGGGGTGACAGTATACACTAGTCACAAATGTGAAGCAGAACAGTCTATATAAAAAAGGTTGACCAATGGTTATTAGAATAAAAACATTGTTACATGAAAAATATATTTTATACAATGACCCTGCACCCAGGCTGCATAAATCTAACTTTTTAAAAGTCAAACATTGTCCATTAGCAAATCACACTAATGTAAGAGCTTTGGACAGCGATGTACAATATGAAGACAGAGGAAATAAGATGATTAATTGTCATACTGTGTGTTGATGTAGCCACACTTGAACAATTAGAAGTAATTTCAGTCTCATCATGATGATGATGATGATGATGATGCATTCATTAAAATCAGCTCCTTCACTTAAAAGCTTAAAGAACAATTATAAGACTCACTGACGCAAACAGCACCATCATCACAGGTATGGTTTTCAGCTGTAAATCTTTTGTGCATGTCCTGCAGTTCTTACCATCTGAAGGATGCCAGTATTTTAGCTGTGCCCACTTTTACTACCATGATTAGATTTTTAAACTTTAGATAAATTACATCTTTACCCCCGTCCCATTGGTTTGTTTGTTGGTGGTTTTGGTTTGTCAGCAGGATTTCCTCCAAACTTGGTGGAAGGATGGGACATGGGCCAAGAAAGAACCCATGAGATGATGATGGGGCGTATCCAGGAATATTGTTTCTCACTTTCTCTAACATTGCAAGAAATCAGACGTATTTAATGGATTGATATCTTTGAGTGTGTGAAATGATTTATTTTAAACAGTCTAGTATTGGACTGATGCAGTCATGTGACAGTGGCTGTCTGGTACATTTGTTTTCTCAACAGACAGTTTTTTTTTTTAGTCACTCATCATTTGCAGTCACATTTGTGTTCTGAACATGTTGGCAGGTTTGTTCCAGATGTTGAGCCTTCAGTCAAATACCTCCACTCTCTGAAACCCACGTGTTGTAGCTTTCAGTCTTCGGTCTCTTGCTTTTCAGGCTCTTAGTGGAAACATTGTCTAGATTGTAATTTGGTGAACATGAGAAAGTTGGCAGTGTTATTATTCCTTCACTGTTTCTATAATTGGAGCTACCAGTTGTTGTTTTGGGCAAACGATGAGGAAGTGGCTCATCCTCTGTTACAACTGCTTCCTGTCTCACGGGAACAGTCGAGTGATTTGAACTCTCATGAGAGAGTGAGTGTGTGTGTGTGTTCTTTTTTAAATCATATATTCAGTTTGATCAGAAACGGTGACCAATGGGAGGAAAAAGCTCTTGTGTATAAAGTTAACCTGTTTAATACAGTATATAAAAAATCAAATGGCATTTATAAAGTACAGACCTCTGCCATTCACTAGATCTGGATTTTATTGGATCTGCACCAAATTGCACACATTCATAAACTTCTCCTAAAAAACCTTTTCATCAAGATCCATGAATTATTCTCTTACAGATCAACAAAAATGTTGCAAACAACGTTAAAGAAAAAACTGCCTCTTGATTGTGATCCGCACAATAATTCAATGGGTTCTTCCCTGACACATGTCGCATCAGCAGTAATACGTTCAGTAGTTTTTGTGGAATCTTGCTAACTAACAGAAAGAGAGAATAACAAACAAACCCAAATGAAAGCATTGCCTCTTTGGTGGAGGTAATGAAGTTTATAATAATTCCCACCGATCTCACTTTAAGAAACCAACATTCTACTAGTTTCAACAGAAAGTCGCTCTCACCCTCTGTACAGATATTGTTATAAAATATGGAACAAAATATTCTTTGTTGTATTTGATCCTCATGAGGTTCAGGGAAACCATTGCTGCTCCATCCTTGTACACATTATTATATTCTGTATGAAATTCTGTTTGATTTCCTGCCTGGTGCAGACCTGAGCATGAAGCCATTTGTGCCCTCAACATTCTACCAGCAAACTTTCTCCTATAAAGGGCAGAGCTCAGGTCTGAAAATGATTCATAGCCACTGTGTGTGTGTGCGTGTGTGTGTGTGTGTGTGCGCGCATGCGTATGTGTGGGTGGTGGAAATGGCCGTGGGAGGATTTGACTTCCTCATGTGGTTTAAGTTAATGGACGAACAGGAAATACGGGGGCGATGTGTTGATGTGTGTTCTGGGTGATACAGTTGGAGAAGTTTGCTCATCACCAAAGAAAGTTTTGATTTTTAATTTGTCAGTCAGTCCTGAAGCAGTTTTTTTTTTCTTTTACTGAAAATGTGCAGGTGCATCACTGCATGCTTGTGTGTGTGTGTGTGTGGGTACGTGCGTGCACGTTCTTGATTTGATGTGGGGAAACCGGTCTAATCGGATGAAATGGTTGATGGTGCAACCACATTCTGATCTTATCTTGTGTTAAAGTGAGCAGAAGTGGAGACGAGCTGTTGTCTTTCCATAAGATGATAATCAGCGTGATGAAATATAAATGACAATAGTGCAATACATTATATGGAAAATATTGCTTTAGAAAAATTGTTTCCAGCCTCTCAACTGTAGTTTCTTTTCTTCTGTTTGATTCTTGTGTTTCTTCCTCTCCTCTTCTTTCTTTTCTGCCTTCCCTTCCTCTCCACAGTTCTGTTGAAGTTTCGCACAGACAAAGGTCGTGACCCGGACCCACAGTCCTTTGCACAGGACAGTCAGCTCCTGAGACAGATCCGTGATGATGTCCTCGAGACCTTGGCGGTCAGCAGTGACCTCCTGAATGATGACTTCATCAGGTGCAGAGCGGCTTTAATTGTCTTGTGGTGTTAATTTTACACATGTGGGATAGAAAGTTTACACACTTCAAATCATTGTTAAAAACACATCTCCTCTCTTTGGCCTTCTCTATGAGCCGATTATCCCAGCAGATTTTATTTTGTTATGTTATTTTATATTATTTTAACCTTTGGTATTTTATGTATTGCATGTTTTCTTGTTGTACCTTTTACTTTGTGAAGTACTTTGGTCAACTGAGATATTTTAAATGTGCTACATAAATGAAGTTGACATTGACAAGAATGAACCTCAGAATATTCGAACAGTGGGGTCTGGAATTCTGGAGATCCTCTGCAGTGTTCAGGAGAGGGCTGGAGCAGCAGGCGGAGGCAGGATGAAACAAATTAATTCTGCTGTGGAGGTCATGTGTTTTTGTTTACAGAGCACTGACACTAGTGTCGGCTTCTATCTCCACAAGCTCTTGACGTCTTTGTCTGAGTCTTCTACGTGTATGGCTCCGCTTTTTCATTCTGAGATATTTGTTTTTGCATCTGTCGCGTGTTAGAAGCATCAGCAACACGCCGACTCATTCACTGAATCCTGCAGAGAATCTCCTGCTGTGTTCTCACATGGGCTCATTCAGACATTCTCCAGAGTTAGTGCGAGGGGGCAGTCACTAAGAGATACAACTCCTCCATAGAATTTCAGTAAATAATCCATGATAGGGTAACTTTCTGAACTTGTCCCTTCTATAACATCACACTTTCCGTTTCCTTGTGCTGTTTGTCCTCAGCTACTGCTTCTCTGAGATGTCTCCAGTGTGCGCTGTGATGGGGGGGGTTCTGGGACAGGAAGTTGTCAAGGTAAGCAAGAAAAAAATGTGGAAGCTTCTTTGGTGTCTTTGACATGTGATGATATTCACTCGGTTGTAGTAAATGATGAAGAAAACCAGTCTATTGTGTGAGTCAGTCAGCTGACAGGTGGCCACTCAGCTGGTCTCAGCTGGTTCTGGGTCAGATCCAGATAAACGGCAGCGACACAGCTCTGTGTAGAAAGGATTTCAACTGTGACCACAGTGAAACGCAGTGTGATGCTCTGGCAGCAGCCTCTCAATAGGAGAAATGGTTTATAGTGTCCACGAGCTGAACAACATAATACATTCATTGATATTGTGACATAAAAGATCGTAACAGGACCGTTAGAAGGAAGTCCAGTGGAAAACATACATCTGAACACTGACACTGTTTGTTTACAGTATTTGCATTAGTTACGAGTCTGACCCATAGACCTTAATAAATATTTGAGCACAAAGACTTTGAATAATATTATGTACGCATCCTGTTTACCTTAAACACACTTGTGTGTTAAACCCCCTCAGGCTGATAAGTATAGCAACGTATAACACGCATCAGTCCTTTTTAACTTTACTGAGAACTCAGACACTGATGGACTAATTAGTCGTCCCTTGCTTGGGTTCCCCGTGGTCTCGCCATGAATTCTTGAATCGACCAGTTGTTGAGGAATGTAAGAAGCTTCATATCTCATTTTTCATCCAGTTTAAATTGAGTTTCAACAAAAATAACTTAGGTTAGAATATTGGAATCGTCTGTGTAAGTATAGTAACAAAGCTTGTTATCTCCCAGATAAAAACATCATCATTATTTAATGCACAAAGTCTTAACGCACAAATGTGGAGAAATGAGCTTCTCTCTCTCTCTCTCTCTCCCCCCTCCCCCCCTCCCTCTCTCTCTGCATGACCTGAATAAGATTTCACCTAAATCATAGAGGGGATTAGAAACCATATTTCTGTAAGCGTGGTGTCCTCAGACTGAGGTAAACTGAGGAGTTCAGGTCTGTGGGTGTGGGGAGGGAGGGAGGGAGGGAGGGAGAGAGGGAGGGAGGGAGGAGACTGACAGCTCTGAGTCAGACTGCATTATATTGACACAAGGCCAATCTCTACATCATGATGAAACCCTCGGCAACTGGCCGGCTGAATCTGACTGATTTCACTCCCTCAGACTCTGAGGAACTTTCAGTGTGCCGGACAAACACTGTGGACATGCTGGCCTTAATAAAACGGTTCTCATGGTGGTGCAGTGGTTATCACCGTCGCCTCACAGTCGGGGGTGTTCGCCGACCATGGTGTTTTTGTGTGGAGTTGTGTCTACCAGGTTTTCTCCGGCTTCAGGGATGAGCTGTTTGTATGTAATGTATGGATTTTTACAAAGTCACTGTAACTAAAGAGATGAAAACAAGACCCCCCTCCTGACAAAGCCCAGTCTGCTCTGATTGGCCAGGTGGACGACCCTATGGGATTTGTCGAGCAGCACGTGTCGACCTCTGCTCTCGCTCTACCTGACTTAGTGAAGTTCCAGACTGGCCGCTGGGTGTGCATTATGCAAATGTGGAAGTATGGTCCAGACTACTGACGAGGCGTCTGGGGAGCTTCAGGTTTTCCTGTAGAGGAGAGGAGCTCCTTTTACTGCCGACTTTGGGCTTTTTAACTTTGCAGAACTTTTACAGCCACAAAAACACCGACATACCACACTAGAGGAAAACTCATCATGTCTCCTTTAATCACACAGACTGAGACTTCGTAGTTCCTTAAAAATGAGTTTAGTCAAGTGTCATTTATCTTTTCTCTTTGTCTTTCTCTTCAGGCTCTTTCCCAAAGAGATGCTCCTCACTGCAACTTCTTCTTCTTCGATGGTCGTAAAGGCAACGGCATGGTTGACTACTTTGGACCAAACCAGTCACCATGACCTGTGTGTTCGCTCGGATTATTTATATCAGTACTTGCTCCACACGTCATAAGATTCAACCTGTTTTTCCATCTTATTTTGTCATTTGATCAATTTTCTTGAGCAGAACTGATATTTTTGTTACATTTACTAATAAAACACTGTTTTTTAAAATGATTCTGTCTCAAGTTTCTTACATTTGTGAAAACTAATTACAATGAATGACGATGATCCATCTGCATTCATGCGTTACAGTTGAAACCTTGGACTTCAGCTGTTCTCTTGCATCAGGTATTTTCTGAAAATTAAAGCTTGGAGACAAATATATCATGAAAAGATAAAAAGTTTCTCATCAAGTTAGAAATAATTAACTCACAAACTCAAGTAGTTTAGATAAACACAGTTCTTGAACTTCATCTTGTATTCAAGTAAGTGTGAGAAAAAAATCAATCGACTAACTTAGAGATCACGGAGTGGAGCTACAGTATGAAGGTCCTGCTGATACACTTCTCTAATTATATTCTCAGGGAGTTCTTTGATTTCAATATGTACAGGACATAAATCATGCAATGTTAAATATGTTAAATGCTCACAGAGACATTTTCTGTTGAAGTGATTTAATCAAACGTGCTGCTGCAGTCACATGATTTGTGAGACTGTATTTGGTAATATCCTCACAATGTCTGACATGTGACTCATCAAACCAAACATGAGTTACAGGAAAGAGTGGGGGCAGGCATTCAAATGAGCCTGAAGCAAAACTCAGAGCATTTATTCTGTCCTATCCTCACAACAACAGAGCATTATGGGTCGGGGAGGGGTGGTGGTGGTGGTATCTGACCACGTCTGACCCCTGAAAGCGTCGGCTGGTTGAAACAGTCGAACCTGAACAGGGATGTGTCTCAGTTGGGAAATAAATGATATTTAGTTTTGATGTGGTTTAACCTCAGTCACCTGTAAAGCGGTGGCTGCTTCCTGTCGTCTGCGGCAACAGCAGATGGTTTAATAACAGCAGCAGCTGCTGATTCACTTTTTTAACACTGTTAAACAAATTAATTTTTTTCATTAATTATATCTCCAGCACTGTCAGAAGAACAGTGATACACAACAAGTCGTCTGCTGTCTTTTTAAAATGAAAAACATGTTTTTCTCTTATTTAACATGAAATAACGTTACTGCTGATTGAGGACTCCAGCTGCAGAGCAGCAAAACAAACTTAGCTCTGGATGAAACCAGAGGAGCGATAAGACAGAGTGCCACTGCTCTTTTCCTAGGATTTAGAAAAAGAAGATTAATTATGGAACCTCCCCTAAAGCCCATTCTGCCCCTTTAATTAAACCGAAACTCTTATCTGCCAACACACACATTCATTAGACTCTGTGCACTCAAGACTCCACTCCATCTCTTTCTCTGCATCCCTCTCTTGTCTTTCTTCTCTTTCCTTCGTGCCCTCTCTCTCGTTCTCAAACGTACACACACACTCGCTTGGTTGAATCCAGCGTAGTGCCCATGCTGTGTTGTCACTCTCTCTGTTTCAGCCTCCACTTGCTCCACAAATACCAAGTGCCTGTTGTTGCAGCAAATCAGATCCCAGAGTTTTCTCTCAGGGCTGCGTGATTGGCTCATTCTGCAGAGGAGTTTAAGTGAGGATATCTACTCCCAATGCTGTAACAGACAAGTGTGTGTGTGTGGGGAGGGGGAGGGGGGGGCTATGATAAAAAATACAGCCATAAATAAATGATATATTCTCTTGCAAACTGTATTCCATAGAAATTTAGGACTTCAAGGGATATTTCTTTCTTTTTTTTTATCATCAGCAGCAGAAATCTTCATGATTGCATCAAGTACATTTTACTCCACTGTGATTATTTGAACGTCTTTTAATTATGAGTTCTGTGGCAGATTACGTTTTTACAGAGAACACATGAAATAATTTTATAACATTTGTTAACGTCACCTCAACCATAACCACAAGTAATCCAATAAAATTTGATGGTTAAATATATTCAGTATAATACACTCAGGGCTATGTTTTGCATTATGAGAACAATACTTTCTGCTTAGAATATTCATATATTTACCATTTACTTGAGTAATATTTTCAATTAAGAAATGTAAATTTTAATTATATCATCCAACGATGATGTGAATACTTAAGATATTGTTTCCTGTGGAACTGAGTAACTATAAAATCTGCGACTATCAGTGGAAGCATGTTTGTGTTTATTTCCAGACAGCAGCTGAAGAGATTTTTCAAATATGATTTTAAGTATTAATTGAGATATTAGGGAGATGTTGTAGTAAGTAGTGAGACAGTCTTTTAACTGGGAGGTCAATAATCAGTCTGATAATCAGATTAAGATAATCAGACTATAATATGATTTGGTTTGATGCTATTAAGTTTCATGTGTCATTCTTTATTTTCAGTGGTTGGTTCAGCAGTTTGTCAATATGATGAATTCCACTTGTCCGTCCACATTACACCATTTATCATTTGAGAGTCATGCGGGGGAGCTGGACACTGAGCGAGAGGCGGGGTTCACCCAGGAAACGTTTATATGAATATTTGTAAATGCAATAGGGAAATCTCCTGGTCCATTGGTTCCTGAATTTAAGTCATGGTAACAACATGATGTGTATGAAATAGTTTTGTGTTGTTAATGTGTTTTGTGTGTTGAACAAGCATCATGAATGAATGATGTACTTACACTGTGTGTACTAGTGTTTACGAGCGTCAGTCCTGCACCAGACTGTCATGTTGACCATCACTGTGAACAGCTGCTGTGTGTGTGTGGTTATCTGAGTGTGTGAACAGCGAGGGTCCTGACCCTCTGTCTGTTAATCCCTGGTGCTCTCCAGATGTGATAGAGACCACAGCTGGATCTGTCCCTCCGCTGTCTCGCATGGCCAGGGGGCTGCTGCCCCCAGAGCCACCAACATCTGTAAACATCTGCTGGAACCACATTTCAGTCAACTGTTGCTGTTCTCGTCAGAACAGCGTCTCAAAATGAGATCACTGCAGTGTGATGTGGTAAAAACTGCAGCTCAGAACTGGGCTAACACAAAAATACCACAACTTTAATATAAAAGTAATTGAATTTAATAACTCATGCAACACATAGTGATGATAATAATGACTCAAAACAGGTGAATATATTTCTCCTTATCTTTATTGTATAAAAAGAAAAAAAGTACAAAATCATGTAGAAATTTTACAATAGAAAACAGTTGAAAACCAGCAAACACACACTGCATGTGACTGACACTGAGCGTCGTTGGGCGGTGCACGATGAACCAGGAAGTGCACTCTCACGAGAAAAACAACCAGTAGAAGAGCAACTGCAAAGTGCTCACAGCGCCGGGCCGGCCACCGCCTGCAGGTTGAAATCCTTTCTATACTTACAGGTGGACTGCTGGAGTATCTAATGAGTTATTCCATCCAACCTGTTAGCATTACTATGTGATGACAGCAAACATGGCGAAAGGGTTAGCTAGCAAACAGATCTATAAATATGAATATACAAGAAGTAAACCAGGGTTTATAGAGCTAACTTTGTTGGACCTTTAGATGCCATGTTAGCTGAACATCTGCAGGCTGTGTCATGACTTTACACATGAAGGCTTCATGAACAAGGCCCTTTGCTAAAAACATACAAAGCATAACAGCAAATGCAGAGTGAGAGCCGTTTATATCGAATATGGCAAAAATAAAACCTGAATAAATTCCCTGTTGAATTTTTGAGGCATTTTAAGTTTAACAGGTCAAATTCTTCCTTAAGTGGGCACTTTTTAAATGAAGGTATGTTACAGTGCATTATTATTATCTTTTAGCATGTGCAGCACCAGTCATACTGCTGCTGTCCAAAATCAAGACCTACACAGTTTCAGAATTAAATTCACATTGGAAACACCTGGTTGAATTTTCAGTCAGGTTAAGCTGTTCAACAAAATCTTGCAGTCTTGCTAACAGTCTGCGAGGCCGAATTTCTTCTTTGTGCTTTAAAGGAAGAGTTTTGGTATTTTTCCACCTCATCTGATCTCAACACATGGAAGGACGACGCGTCACTTCCAGTCATTCTGTCAAGCTGATAGTACCATTTGAAATGACAGTTCCTGAAGCTGATAACACATTAAATGAAAGTGATATATTGTCTTTCAGTAAGAACATTGACACCTTTAACCCCCAGCTCTGTCTTAACAGTTACAACGCAAGTACAGCTTAATTCATAGTTATGATCAGGAATGTAAGAAAAAATAAATAATGTAATACATAAAAAATTGAAAGGAACCAAAATAAAAACAATAAAAACAAGCTACAGAAAGGCTAGTTTCCAAATAAATTAAGGTCTTAACACGAGAAATCAACATTTCCTCCCAACTACAAAGAAAATAATCACATAACTGAAAGAGGTCATTTTTATAAACATCATCAAATACCTTTAAACAATCAAAAGATCCAAATCATATAATTTTCTTTAACTCTTGGAAAACCATCTCAAATCCACTGGATTTAAATTCAGACTCGCTCTACTCTCGCCAATGGCTGCTCAGAAAAACAAAAAGATGTCCAACAAACACGGTGAACTCTCGCTTAGATAAGTACTTTTTTTTTAAAGTCGGCCAAAAATGTTCAGATTACTCAGATTCATTGTCCAAAAAAAAGAATATTTACATACGATCAAGTAACTATAAACACTGTCGACAGAGTGAAACCCTGCCAGCTCCCAACACTGGCATGGATGGTGTGGAGAAATGTACAGTGGCAGTTCCCAGTGTGTGTGTGTGTGTGTGTGTTTATGTGTGTTTATGTGGGGGGGGGGCTAAGCCATTTCTGTCCTGAAATGACCTTACACCATGCAGAAGCTGGAACATTTGAATGTAATGCAAATGACACTTGAGTTAAGTGACTGAAAACAAAGCACTTAAAGATTTTACGTGTGTGTGTGTGTGTGTGTGTGTGTGTAGCTGATTGTCCTGGTGTTGGCGACGAGGCCTCAGTAGAGCTCTGAGCAGAAAGGCACATTATGTGATGAAATGAAGCAGTTTCAGATTGGGAGAGAGATTCACTCTGTGCTTGGCTCCACCGTAAAATAACACCCGACTTTTCCCTGCGATGAAACCACAGCGTCCAGTCTCACAGTTTCTAAGAATGGGGGCAAAATAAAGACACAACAGTAACATGCACACACAAGATGAGGGTCAAATCATGTCCGTGATAATCCACTGAATTATTTTTACCAACTCAGACGGATGGATTCTCCACAGCAGGAGAAGAGCTTACGATGATTACCAGAAAATTGAACAGAATCAGTGGGAAGAATTGGAGAGAAATCGTTTGCTCGGACAAATGTGACACAACCTCGAGCAAAATGGTGGTTGTTAATATTAAATGGAAAAACCTTCACTTCAGAACCAGGTCATTTACAGACACAGTTATCTGAGTTATTAAAGGAGACATATTATGCTCATACTGAGATTCATCATTAATTTGGGCTTTTACTTGAAAAGCTGCAGCTCCTCTTATCAGTCCCAAACAATTGGTTCCAGTTCCTGTGTGTTCTGTTGTGATTGGCCATCTTCTTCAAGCGTGTGTAGCACTTTCTTTTAGGCGGCGTGACAGACTAGCCGCTAGGTGTGCATTATGCAAACGTTATATGAAATCACGATGATGCAAAGTATGTTCTGGATGAGGTGTTTCAGGTTTTTCCTGTGGGGGAGTGAAGCTCCCTTCACCACAGACTTTGAGTTTTTCTTATCTTTGCAGAACTTTAAAAAAAACCTGTATAACAAAGAAGGGGAAAGAAACTCTGAAAATTATAACATGTCTCCTATAATATCCCACTTTTGAATTGACCTCATCAGACAGTTTGACCCAGGTCTCTTACGTGCGCAGTCACACAAACACACACTGACTCACACACACACATTCTTGAGTCTCGCCTGCTACATAAACATCTGACCCCCAGATGTGAACAAACACAGTGAAAGCAAATAGATTTTACAAAATATACACATAGAAAAGTGAGCGTCAGTCCATCAGCTTCAGTCCGAACCAGCAGACTGACTGACGGACGGACCATCATTCAGACAGACAGGCAGGGTCCAGTTTCCACAGGTTGAGAGAACACCTCCAGCTCATTCTCCCAAAGTCTTTGTTCAAGAATATGTTTGACTTCAGTCTGCATTTGTCCCCGAGGTTCAAATGAACAACAGTGCAGGAAACAGATATTTCTCTTCACGAGCGACGAGCCAGTGTTCGAGTCCTGTATGTAAAAAAAGTCACGAGGAGAACCAGTGGTTGCAGGTGACACGGTAACCTACGTGAGCCTGTAGAGCGTGCTGAGCGTCTGGGTGATGAAGTTGAGGAGTCCCCGGCATGCGTCTCTCCAGTCCTGCCAGTGGGGGGCAATGTGCTGGGAGAGAGAAAAACAAAAAGGGTGTTTAATGACTTAGAAACAGTTGCGGGACCTTGATGCAATGGCTCCACTCCTTAATCGCAACTGTACAAACTCTGCCTCCAAATGACGTCATCAGAGCAGCGATATATTTTTTTAGAATCCATCTTTATTTACAGTCTATGGTTGAGACGTGTGGCCGCAGCGAAGAAAGACTCAACAATACAGGTTTTCTAAGACCTCAAAAAAAACCATCTGGGTGGAAAGAGGAAAAACTCCTGAGGCTGATTATTCAAGGTCTCAGAAAGACAGAACTTGGAAGACAAAGTAAATGTTCAAACTAACATGAAGTGATGAGGAGGACGTGGTGGAGAGAAAGAACATGTCTGCATAGAATAATGAGGATCCCTCAGCAGCTCAAACAAGAGGATAAACAAGTGTGTGTCTGTGTTGGGGATGCTACTCTGAACTGCTTGAACCTCACGTGCCTGTGGTTAACCCACCCTCCCTCTCTCCCTCCCTCCCTCCCTCCCTATTTCCTTACACTTGAATCTCCATCCCTCCTTCCCTCAGTTTCTCCCTTGTTCCTTCCTTCGTTCCTTTTGTTTCGAACGTCTCGTTAAGAAAAAGTGTCTGACTGTACTTTTTGGCTTGAATGGGTTGTAAACAACACACACACGCACAATTTCCCCACGAGAATACAGTCTGTCTGTCTCCCTCATGCACACACACACACAAACACACACACACACACACACACAAACACACAGGACAGAGGACAGTTCATTGAAGGCATTGAATCTTAAAAAGCCTGCTACACTTGTCTGCAAAGGGGCTGCTACACCCTCATAAAGTGTGTGTGTGTGTGTGTGTGTGTGTGTGTGTGTGTGTGTGTGTGTGTGTGTGTGTGTGTGTGTGTGTGTGGGGTGGGGTGGGGGTGGGGTTGCTGCCAACTCCTCACGCGATCTTGAGCATAGAGGAAGGGAAGGGGGGGGAGGGAGGGGAAAGATAAAGAAATGACGACAAAAAGAAAATAGACCTCTGCAGAGAAGAAAGGCCGTCGTTTCATTTAATTTTATAAGTTTGACATCATGCATTTGTTTAAAAAACTACAGCACAACTCATTCTGATGATAACGGTAAAGAAAGGGCAGCAAGAGCAATGGAGAGGGAAATTATGTAAAGGAAATAGAAGAAGGAGGGATGGAAGAAAGACGTGTGTCGTGAAAGCATTCTGCCATTTAAGTTGAGAGGAGATTGAAATTAAAGTATAAATAAATAAAACAAACAAAGAAGGAAATGAATGAAGGAGGGAAGAAGGAAAACAAATGACTCACAGATGACATTGATTCACTCTCTCACACATTCAAATATTGATCTTTCTTCGAGACTGCCCCACACACACACACTCCTACACACACGTCACGTGTTCGTCCATGCGAGAACACACTTGTCAAACAAGAAAATAAGAGTCTGTATGTGTGTGTGTGTGTGTGTGTGTGTGTGTGTGACAATCCACGTGACTGTGCTGTGTTCAAGGACACAGTAAACGTTGTACACACACATCCTCAGTTCAGTCTGGGTGAAGGGAAAAACATTCAAATTGACCACACAACAACGCTCACTGTGATGAGACTGAACTTTAAGGAACTGTTGAAATCTAACGAATCTAAGCGGACTGCATAGTCTGTATATTCTGTACATTATATAAATGCACTACTGTCATAAGATTGAGCATCTCTGCACCGCTGCACTGTTGTCCTCTGGTCATAATTAGTAGTTTCATGTTTCTAGTCCACCCTCGCACATTTGTTTCCTGTTGCACTACTGTCTTGTACAGTTTATCTCTATTGCACATAGTGATAAGTCTGTTGTTGATTGTTTGTCTGTTTGTGTAAGTACACTGAGCACAACTCAGAAAAGTCTTCTTTATCATTTTACTCTTTCAGGTCAGTGTAAGTCTTCATGTTATTTTCTCTACAATAATAATTTGTGGTTAACAACTGAACACCCTGTAAATGACACAAATAATCCCCTGCTCCTCCTCTTACCGCTCTGCGGAGGACTGTGGCGTTATATTGATCTCCGATGGCTCTCAGCTGACTGGCCACTCTCCTGACCTCCAGCTCCTGCTCTGCCTCTGTCCTGGGATCTCTGTGGTATGGTGAAGACCAGGATGGGTGCTCATTCCTGGGCAGCAGGTCAGGCAGAGGCCCCTGCTGGTGCTCCTCTATGTCAGAGTCTGCAGAGAGAAAGAAAAATAGATTCTGAAAATAGAGTTTCTATCATAGGAAATAGAAACACTATGCATTTATTCCTCTCACTCGTATAATATTTTACCAATATTCTTCTGCATGCTCTCTTATGTGTCTTTCTTGAGAAGAAATGATCATGTGTGAAGAGACAGACGTGCTTTATTGGTTACACAGAGCCTCTGGTTATTCTTAATTGATTCTAAACAAGCAGCGTACATTAACTGCCTCCTTACACACTAATGTAGACAGTTCAAGTTAGGGTGGGTGGGTGTGCACACATAGTAACACAGGGCAAACTACACAGATCAGGCTGCCAAGCAACAGAGACACTTTCATTGAACACTCCAGCACACACCCAGAAAACCCGACACACACTTCCCACACGTCCTCAGTCACACCAGCTCCCACGACCAACGTGACTTCACAGCACAGTGATCTACACAGAACATCAGCTCACTTAAAACAGAGGAAGTGACTTTTAAGTTGAATGACTCTGATGCAGTGAGAACACGAAACTAGGGAGGTGAATATGTTTGATATTTTATTTATAAATTCCTACAATTAAACTTTGAACATAACAAAACCCAGTGGTTACCAGTGGGGTTGTTTATTCCTCTGCGCGTGCACACACACACACACACACACACACACATGCAAATACACCTGCACACACACACACACACACATTTCTTAAGGAGTCTGAAGGTTTGACGGTGATTTATTTTCCTCTTCATGGAACTTGGGAGAGTAATCTTTTAATCTGCTTAATAAGTCTGGTATAGAGAGGTTCTGTATGTTGTGTTTAAGTTTGTTGTGTGTTTTGTTTACAGGCAGATGACTGTAACCGTCTGCCCAGTCACAGGCACTCATAGAGATATAGAGATATGATGATTTGATGGATTTTTGAATCTTTTATTTCA